CCTTCCTCACCCAAATGAGAGAAAATTATCCAAGTCTAGTGATCCAAGGGCCTAGTGAAGGGGTGAGAGCAAAGGCATCTCTGAAATACATCCTAGGAAAAAGCAGGTCCAGGTTGAGTTTCCCTTATCCGGAATTCCAAAATCTAAATTTTTCCACATGGGTGGCTGAGACAGTGACACCTTTGCTTTCTAACAGTTCGGCACTTGTTTCAGGGGCAAAATTATTTTAAAATATTGTGTATAAAATTACCTTCAGGCTTTCTGTAATGTATGTTGTGGTGGTGGTGGTGGCTGTGGTGGTGGTATGCCTGCAGGTCATTTCTGATTTATGGTGAACCTAAGACAAACTTATCACAGGGTTTTCTTGGCAAGTTTCTTCAGAGGGAGTTTGCCACTGCCAAACTCTGAGATTGAGAGAGTGTGACTTGCCCAAGGTCATCCAATGAGTTTCATATGAAACATAAATTAATTTCATATTTAAACTTGGGGCTTATCTACAAGATATCTCATTATATGTATATATGCAAATATTCCAAAATCTTAAAAAATAAAAAAAATCCAAAATCCAAAACACTTTGAAATCCAAAACACTTTTTGGATAAGGGAGGCTCAGTCTATAGTGTTTCCTCTCTGCCTGCAGTAAGGGATAGGAAGGCCACGTTCAAATAGACACTAGGAAAAAAAAATTGAAACATTTTGCTCCTGTATTCTTTTTATCCTTTTCTTTTTATCTTTACTCTTTTCATTCTTACTATTAGCCCATCACATTCGCACAACATTGTTAGTCTTTCTGAAATGTTCTGTGTTGGTACAGCTTGAGATTCCTGTACCATAATATCTACAATGGTAACTGCATCAAGCCTCCCCCTGCCTCAGTTATTCAAACTCTGGATAGGAAAGTAACAAACTCTAGAATCTTTCCCAATGGAGAGATTTGTATAACCTCTCCCCAGAAACAGAAGGGACAGAAAGGTGTGTGTGGGCAGAAAAAAGGGAGTTCCCTCCAAGCAGAGGACATTCCCATCTTTTCTTC